CCGCGGTCCCCGGGGCCCCCGGCGGGGAGATGCAAGCGTCCACCGCAGCCTCTCGCCCCATCCCGGGCTCCTGCGGCGGCGGCGGCGGGCGCCCGTGGCCCCCTTCCGGCCGAGGCCGCTTCCTGCGCTGCTGTAAGGGGCCCTTCCCGCCGCCCCAGGGCCCCCAAACCCACATTTCGTCCGCCACAACCGCAGAGCCTCTGGCGCGTCCCCTGGGCCCGCTCCTGGGATCCCCACGGGACACGCCCGGGCCTTTCTAGGATTGCGACGTCACGAGGCTCGCCCCGCTGTCGTGCGGGGTCTCCGCGAGAGCTGCGCCGAGGACCCCACGCCCCGGGGCCCCCAACGACGGAGTGTTCCCCACAACGCAGCCGAGGTTTTCGTACGCCAGAGATGCCACCAGTACCGGGCCTCCACGCACGAGGGCGCCACAGTGTCACCCGAGGCGATAGAGGATGCCACGCGTGCTAAGAGAGCAGCCCCAGGCACCCCGCAGCGTGACCTGGGGACCCGCGCACGCACAGGGCACGGCCCGCCGGGCCCTGCGCGCTGCCTGCGAGCCTGTGGCAGTGCCGCCCGCCCGGGGCAGCTCCCTGTCCCCCCGGCAGTGGTCGGAGCACACCCCTTCAGGGAGGGAGCTGCGCCCTAGACTCACCAGCCACTAGCTCTCCCTGCGCCCTCCCTGGCCGCGGCTTCCAGGGCCAGTGTCAGGACTCGGTCCCCGCACGTAGCGGGCCAGCAGCTGGCGTGACCCTTCCCGCCGCCAGCTGCAAGGCTGCGGAGTGCTCGTGCATCTGTCAGTCAGCACCGACCTGGGGCCAGAACGAGAGCCGTCTGTCCGCCTGTCTGTCTCTCCACACACTAGCTGCAGTGTGGGAGGGAGCCTAGCAGGAAAGGGCGGGAGGGAAGCCACAGTGTGGCAGTGTGGCCCTGTGGGGAGGCAGCATGCAGCAGATGCCCCGACAGGGACCCAGAATCGGGGACAGCATGCTCAAGCCGAGGCCAAGGCACCCTTTTCCCTGCTGGCCTCCGAGCTGGGGGAAGTCCGTAGCCACTTCCTGTCGTGGGAGTGACCCTCAGTATGTGACCTGCTGTTCCTCCCCTCTTGGTGGAGGCTGGACCGGCCCCAAACCAGCACACCTGGGAGTCCCCCCCAGGGAGCTGCCCAGTGTTGCTGAGTAGGCCATGTTGCCCCTGTGGGAGGCACAGATGTCTGGAGAGGCCCCCCAAGGCCAGCCAGTGGCCCAGGGCAGGGCTTGCTATTCAGCATACAGGGATCCAGTCCAAAAGCTAGCTTTCGGCCCGGGGAGATGGCTCAGTGGAATAAGCGCTTCCCTGGCAAGCGCAAGGGTCTGAGTTCAATCCCGGGTTCCGCCAAAAAAAAAAAAAAAAAAAAAAAAAAAAAGAAAAAGAAAGCTAGCTTTCTGTCCACCGTGGACATGTGGGCTCACCCCAAGTCCCTTCCCCTGGGAATCCCCGCCAGGCCCCTAAGGGAGATTGCTTGTCATGATTCCTGCACCCGTTTCACCCCCTGGCTCCGGTAGGCATTGGACAAGACCGAGGTCCTCAAGTCCTGAGATGCTGCAGAGATCTACCATAAGGAAGCTCTATGTTCGCATATGTAAGAAAACGGGTGCAAGGTTTCTTTCAAAGGTGTATTTTTAAAAAAAACAGAGAGAGCTGGGCTTAGTGGACCATACCTGTAATCCCAGCTGCTCTGGAGGCTGAGGCAGGAAGATTAAAGCTTAAGGCTAGTTGGGACAATTTAGTGAGATCCTGTGTCAAAAAGAAAAGGGACAGGGCCGGGAAAATGGCTTAGTAGAATAAGCGCTTGACTGGCAATCGCAACGATCTGAGTTCAATCCCCGGTTCCGCAAACAAAAAAAAAAAAAAGAAAAGGGAATCGCTTCTTGGCCTTTTGGCTAAGATTAAGTGTAAAAAGAAAAGGGGGCTGAGGGTGTAGCTTGGTGATAGAGCACACCTGGATTGATCCCAGTATGACTTTTTTTTATTTTTGTTTATTTATTTATTTGTTTATTGCAGAACCAGGATTGAACTCAGGCCCTTGAGCTTGCCAGGGAAGCGCTTATTCCACTGAGCCATCTCCCCGGCCCCACCATGACTTTTTTTTAAAGGAAAGTCTTGGAGACGGTTTGGGTTGGTTGCTTGGTGGGTAGGTTGGCTTGGTTTTGCTTTTGTTTTTGTTTTTGTGACACAGTATCTTTCTATATCTGCAAGTCTGGCCTCAAATGCATGATCTTCCTACCTCAGCCTCCTATATGCTGGGATTGCAAGCATGCACCGTACCATACCTAGTTTGGAAGATGGTTTTAATGGCCTACATTTAGATTAAAAAAAAAAAAAAGTGTTGCCATGGAGCGTCTTTCTTCCATCCACATGTGAATTCCACACAGTTCAGCAAGGGGCAATCCCAAGAAGGGGCTGGCAAGCCAAAGCGCTGCAGGCCAGGTCTCCTGCCGAGGAGGAGCTGCGCCCTGAGCGCACACCTGCGTGGGCACTGCCTGCTCGGAAGCTCGGCCTGCGCTGGGCCTCGGGCTGTGCAAGCCCAGGCCAGGGCCACACTGTGGCCAAGCCCAAGGCACCCGCGGGAGAAAGCAAGAGGGGCATGCCAGGGCGGGCATGCAGGAGGAAGGCCACAGGCACAGGGCAGGGGCAGGATGGGACGGCAGGGCGGGAGGGCCCAAGACGAGGGCGGGCCTTGAGGCAGCCTGTGACGCTGCCTCCATACTCGGCGGACTCTGCGGCCTCCTCCCCAGAGATGCTGGTGTTTCCAGTCTGTGGCTGGGCAGCTTCGACGGGCCTGTGTTCTCCTTCCCACAGGTATTCCTGTCTTGCCGCTTGTGCACTCACTTGGGCCATGAGCCAGGCCGCCGTGCTGCTAGGAGGAGGGTGTGGCCAGGATACTTGGAGCCCAGCACACAGGCTGAGGGGAAGACCCCACTGCCCCCCGACACACCGTGGGCCCGGGCAGCTGCCGGGCACGTGTGCTGGCACGTCACACGGTGTGCGCTGGAGAGCCACCATGCTCCTTCTCTGGTGTGAGAAAACAGCCACCCAGCAGCAGGCTGCCTGGACGAGACCGAGGTGCTCGAGTCCCGAGATGCTCCAGGCGGTTGGTGCAGGCCTTGGAGTGGGGGCCTCCAGCCTCCAGAGCCAGCTGGGCGACGGGAGGTGGCGCCTGGGACCAGCGTCAGGGGCCACCAGATAGAGGACCCCCACTTTGGGGGAGCATGGGCCCCAGCTGGGAAGTGCTCTGTGGAGCTCAGACATATTCCCATCATGGGCCAGCCTGTGTCCCACTGCACCCCACTCTCAGCCCGCTACTGGGAGAAACACACTTCCACCGTCAGGAAAGTGCTAAGTCACCATTTCTAAACTTTATTTTTTTTAAATTTATTTTATCTATTTATTGGGGGGGGGCAGCTCAGCCCACCAGGGGGCGGGGCGGGCTGGCATGTGGTGCTGGGGGATTGAACCGTGGTCCCTGTGCTTTGCTAAGCTTGTTCTAAGTAGGTGCTTTAGACCACTGAGCCATCTCACCAGCCCCTACCATTTCTAAACTTTAAATGCAGCCAGGCACTGCCCTACATGCCCAGAACCCCATGGGGTGGTGTGGCGGGGACGACTAACTCCAGATTCAGCCAGCCTGCTCAGTTTAGCCAGACCCCATCTCGAAGTTGTAGGAGCCCCTTCCTGGTTCTCATCTCAGTTCAAGAAGTTAATGTTTATAATCCCAAAGATAGTTATTGGAATCCCACCAAGTTAATTCCAATCTGCCACTCCCAGTGCAACCCACAGTGAAAGTAAAGACACTAAAACATATTTATAATTATTGGGGAGCCAAGGGGCCCTAAGTCCAGCCACGAAGATGGCTTTCGGGAACAGAGAGGCTGACCCAGGGCCTCACCTGGTTTTATTCGGTGGGGGAGTGGCTTGGGGA